AGTCTCAGATAAACATATTTTTCAAACAGGGCTTAGCCTCATTCTTTCTAGCCATGAAGAGTCAACGGAAGTGCTTCAAATGAAGGGGGCCCTGACTAGATCGGCACACTGATAAACAGTAACCCAGCCCAAAGTGCAAACTGTACATACAGAGCTGTCAATTAGGAAACTCTTGCTGCACAGATGAATTTTAAAGTGTACAGAAACATCTTAACTGCAGAGACCCTCCTTTTGCAATAGAGTAATGACCCAAAAGCACCTAAAAAATTAATGCTCTTGGCTGACTAAGTAAATCAGATGGTACTTGATCTTTATTGTGCTTTTCACTTACTGAATATAAGTCTGAAGGCAAAAGCCCCCAAAACAAGCAGGAACTAAAACTGACTGTATTACAGCATCATCAGAGAAGATTCCCAGCTGTCTGTAGTTCACTGACTTCAGTAAATTGTCAACTGCAGTTTATTTGCAATCAAGCAGGAAATGTCATTTTTTAAGCATATCAGTTTGATTGTAAGGTTGTGTGTATCGAGCTTGTAACAATAGAACACTTTTGGGTGCTGTATAGAACCCTTTTCAAAAAGGTTCTATATAGAATCATATACAGCATATTCTCTATCAGTCTGAAGAACCCTTTCATGATACAAAGAACCCTTTAATCATTTTATCACATTTCTGTGACTGTTCATAGTTCTATACTGAACCATTTTCTTTACTACATAACCCTTGAAGAACCATCTTTTTTAAGAGAGTTGGTGGTGTCTGATTGTAGTTTGAAAGGCATTCTGACCCCAAGACCTAACTAATTTCTGCAATTTCCCATCTGTGATCCTTGGAGATTATTTGCCCACTCGAACCATCCACACATAGATTTGGAAAAAAAATTATATTTATTTTATATTTATTTATTTATTTTAAACCCTTATACCTTATAGATCAAAGGAATATGTAATTAAATACTTTTTAAAGCTCATTTTTCTCATGAGTACCAGGAGTGCCAATATTTGTGAATACTTATTTCCTCTCACTGTACATTCATCCTTGTGTGTTGATGCCTCTCAAACTATGACTCTGTGTAATTGCTTCTCTTTTACTTAAATATTTTCTGTCTAGACTGCCAATTTGTGATCACCATTTACAGCAAAGCTATATGTTTAGCTTCAGCTTCATTTACTGCACTGATACCTTACAAAGAGTTCTACCTTACAAAATTTTAATTTCCAGAATACCAGTGTGAACCCAGCATGCCAACATAAACTAAATTTTTCTTCTGCAGAGCGGTCATATAGGAGAGGTGAAGCTTAGATGAGTAACTATATTTCAGTATGCACAGTGTGCTAATGTATACAAGAGGATACACAAACTTTTTACTCTTTTTTTAGCTGTTTGTAAATCATGGTATTTGAATCTTTTATGTCAGTACTTGATTTGGAAATGTTATTATGACACATGATGAAGACATCGGGCACTTTCTAAAATCTGCAAGATCTGCAAATGTTCATACCGAATCTAAAATGTACTTTAGGTCTCTGTCTGTTATGTCAGACCAGTGCCATGCAAGTAGATGCCCCAGTGTGAAGAAAATTCAAGAAAACAATCTGTATGTGAGAATAACACTTTCACAAGATGTTGAAAAGTTTAAAGTTCAGTGGAAGTTTCAATGAACTCTCAACCTTCAAACCATATGTGCCTTCACAAAGGAGACAAAAAAGTCACTGAACGAAATCAGCTGCACTTACTTCAACTGAGGGTTATTATTTTGCATGTGGTCTGCCCTCTAGGAGCACCCAAACACTCTAATATCCCACTCACAGTGAGCTCTGACCTCGCACAGAGGGTTTAGACTAATCCCTCTGTCTAAGGCTGTTAGAACTTACCTTTACCTTTCACTCTAAACACATGGACACACACACATACAATCCACATCAAGAGGGGAGACACATAGGAGACTCATTCCACTCTGTACTGTGTGTTTGAAATGTAGGGAAGAAAATGGAACAGTGAGATTTGACTCTAGTGCATTAGATTTTGAATGATTTGTACAAGCACAGTTTGAGATTGTGTAGGACTATAAAAGCACAATTAACTTCAAACTAGCTGAGTTGCGTATTTATATATTTATAATCAGTGAATAGTAAATTATAAAATATAAAATTTTTATGTAGGTCAGTTTAATGCTGAGGACAAAATGGGTTCTAGAAACCACATTTACATTAATCAAAATGTGAAATTGTTCAGTCACAGCCTCTTTTCATGTCTAATAATGTGGAGGTTTTAGTGACAGAGGCTATCTCTTCAGATGAGCTAATGCTAAAGCTAACACTGGAGCTAGTCAAAGCAATGTTAGACGCTGAAGAGTACTCTTTGTCTTTCAGCAAACTTTAATAAAACAATGTAAAGAATGGCATGTGTACTAGTGCATTTATGTTTATCTTTACACGTTTTAATCACAAATGCTACCACAGGTCAGTCTTGTTTAATCTGACTGGTTTATCACATTAACTGTCAACAGCGAAGACAAGCTTACTAGCTAATCTTATTTTTGTAGAGTTATCTATTGTAAGACATCATATTAAAATGTGTATTATCAAATACGATCACCTGGATAAAGTTTACCTCAGAGCCAGTAAAGTCTGCTAGTTAATAGTGCAGACACTGAGCTGTGAGTGAGGTTCTCCACATAACATTAATTTAATCCAAAACTTTCTCAGCTTCACGAATGAAATACAAACCACAGAATCCTTCAGACGATCAGGAAGCTGATCGTACAGCACTCAATAATCACTACAGCTCAATGTGATAAACGAGTCTTCTGAGCAATCCAGCGAGAACACTGCTCAAACCTTTAACACTGGTCTTCATGAGGCAGCAAACCTGGTTTCATATATCAGCAAAACACAGTTAAAATCTTCATGGATATGGGACAGTACTCTTGTTGTCATTCTCTGTGTGGATCATATGACATGAATCACAATATTATAAACACTGCTCAGCAGTAAAAATAAAACAAAAATAAAATGAACAGTTTTAAAGAACCCCATCAAAACAGGTACATGTGGAATACGTGCAGGCTAAACATAGCCAGCTCATCACCCAGCCAAAGACTGTTTGCTCATAATGTTACCCTATACTTTAATGTCTTGATGCTTTATTTATTAGACTCATAAGTGACCTGTGGCAAGGGCAGCCTAACGACTGATCTAAAATATTTGCATTAGCTCACTAAAAATGATCTATTTAATTTGCTTGATTCAAATGTTTACAGAAATTCCTCATGAATAAATAACAAACATCAGCTCAGCTTTGTTTTTCAGTTTACTGTCAGCAGTAATCATGTTGAGTGAATTAAATACATTTTAAGTTACACAAAGAACAGTGTTGTTAAACGCTGTTTTATTTTTTCCCTAATAAATTCACGGGGTCTTACCTGACACCCCATTGTGTAAATTCTGGCTTCGCTTCAATAATGCTGCTTCTTTCAATTTTAACAAAAAACTTACATAGTGCAGCTTTAAATTTTCCAGAAATAACACTAGTGGCCATTTATTTAAATCACCTCATAACAGCAAGTGATCATGAGACAAACGGCTTTACAATACAGGACAAGGCTGAGTTAGAGAACGACATAGGTCAGTCTTATCTTATCCTTCTCTCAACACACCAGACTCCACTAACAAAAGGTGATAGTCATCTGATAAGCTGTATCAGGCCTGCAGGATTAAAACCACTTGTAGAACTGTTCACACCCAGAACCAGAACTTCCCACTGCTAACATTAAACAGCCGACCAGATTTAGTTTTGACATAAAAACACAGGCCAAATCTGTTAGTGTGACCTGCAATACATAAACATTCAATACTGAAGTTTAGCTAAAAGAAGTCAAAGAATTGATGTTTAAGACTGGGATTATTTTAAGAGATTATCTCATTATGTGTGACCTTGGTCATTTGGCAAGAGTGTCCTGGAGGAAGTTTACAGACTGGAGCAGGTGTCAGAAGGAGCAGGCAAGCCTAAAAATACCCAGCGTAGTATCCTTAAAGAAGACTGAACGGGGACTGAAGGAAAACAAAACCCGTTGGTGGGATCTGTGTCTCAAAGAGTCTGAAGAAGACTTTACAAAAGCCGTTCTCCAAGAGCGGCTGAGAAAAATGGCTGAGCTTACAGACGCATTTCCTAAGACTTAGCACTCCGCGGTCTGGTGAAAGTGTAAAAACCTTTTCGCATTAGTCTTGGCTCAAACTCAGACAAAGCCTGCGAGTGCTCAAGGGTTCTCACGAGCTCATGTGATATCAGTGTTAAACGCAGCTGTGATTATGAAGACTGCAACAAGAGCCTCAGATGCTGCTCTGTCACCAGCTCCCCCTCATCAGCGAGAGCTGCTGACCCCCGCTAACCCAACACTTCCCTGGAGGTGGACGTGGATTTCGATGGGAAATTTCAACAATGCGCATTGTGGGCGCCTCATGACGCGCCCCGGTGCCTCGTGCCGTTGCCGTTGCTCTGTCTGAGAGAGAGATGCGATACTGAAATAAATCACAATAAAACTACCAACATCATCCGAAACCTTGGCTTACAGACACGCCAGGTACGAACTTCTACACACAAACACACGCCCTGTGGCCATACAGTCTCCCTCCACAGACTCACTCGACTGAGCGTGTCCCGCTGTTTTTGAACGAAAATCTCCCTGAAGCGGAAACTTTCTCCGCTACTTTTGTGCATCTTTTGTTTTCTCTTCATCTCCACTGCGCTTTAACGTTCACAGCGTTAGAAATAGGAGCGTGGTGAGGGGGGCTCGCTTTGCCTTCTTCTTACCCATCACATCCCATATATAGTCATATGAACGGTCAAATGTCTGGCGGCAGCGAATCGCCACTCAGATCCATAAAAAAAGCCGGAGCATGCAGCAGGAGCCCACAGAGGCCGTTTCCAAAAAAGTATTGAATGTCGTGAGGAATTCGGCGCCCCCCCCGTCAAAGTACATATTTGACAGGGCACACGGAGAGGACCGCTTGCACTCCAGCTCAGCGTTCAGTCTGGCCCACACGCTCTGAGCTCAGTACCGGCCGTCAGCTCGCTCTTTTCACTGTCTTTGGAATTTTTTAGTGTGTGTGTGCAGCCAAACCAATAACCAGCCATGGATGCCATCAAGAAGAAGATGCAGATGCTCAAGCTCGACAAGGAGAACGCCTTGGACAGAGCTGAGCAGGCTGAGGGAGATAAGAAGGCAGCGGAGGACAGGAGCAAACAGGTCGGGGATTTAAGTTTTCCATAGAGAGAATAAATGGGAGCATGAATGTTGGTGCCTTATCGGTACCTCCGAGTGAACGGATTACCCTGTCTGAGTGGATTTATAGTGGCAGAAGATGGAAGATAGTGTGCTAACTTGGTGTTTGGGTGCTGTTTTACTAGCCTAACTTCCAGTGTTGATGTGAAGAGAGTAAGCCTGTTTCACTTCTTTTGATAGCCCCCTAACACACTTAGACTCCCAGTCATTGAAAACGCTAGACGTGCTTTTTTGTGTGAGTGCTTGTGCCATGTTGATGAAAAATGTCGTTTGCATGCATGTGTAGCTGGAGGAAGAGTTAAGAGAGTTGGAAAAGAAATTGCGCATAACCGAGGATGAGCGCGATAAAGTGTTTGAGGAGTTCCAGCAGGCCGAGGAAAAGTTGCTGACCGCAGAGGAGGTCGCCACTAAGGTATTTCGTGTGTGCCTTTCCAAGTCTCTCCTAACTTTTTCTTCCCTCTCTCCCTCTCTTTCTCTGTCTGTCTCTCTGTCTGTCTGTCTTTCCCTCGCGCCCTGTCACGCACTGCGCTTTCCTGCTATTCACCGCTGTGGAAAACAAACAAATAAACAAACAAACACAAACTGCACCAAAAACACGCTCAGCTCGAGGATGACTTGGTAGCCCTGCAGAAGAAGCTGAAGGCCACCGAGGATGAGCTGGACAAGTACTCTGAGGCTCTTAAAGACGCCCAGGAGAAACTGGAGCTGGCTGAGAAGAAAGCCACAGACGTGAGTATGGATGGAGGCCAAGTGTCTTCTGGCTGCCCACTGCTTCCACACAACACTTTTCTTTCCGTCACACCCTTTGTTTCTTATCTGACCTGTGTGAAATGACAGCTGTGCTGCTTTACTGAAATGTAAAAGTTGAAAATAGATAAGTAACCACAGCAACAGCGCGTCCTTTCCCTCAGGTCTGTGTTGTGTTTGTGCACCTTTGATGTCACCTTCACACAATGTACCCTGTATCAGTGAACATAAGGAGCTCTGAGAGGCCCATTATATTATCAGTGTCCTACAGCTGGTCAGACATGGAGAAGCCTGTCAGATATAGAGTAGCTGGACATCCGCAGGGAAGCAGGTCAGACATAAAATATCTGCTCAGGCATAAAGTATCAGGTCAGACATGGAGAAGCCTGCTTGAAAGAAAATACTGCACTCGGTAGGGCTGGAATTTGCAGGACGTGTAGCCGAGGCTACTGGAAGGCTGAGGGAGAGCAGCCGGGCTGTTAAATTTAGCCTAGTGCTTTATATGGTAAAGACGCAGCACTCCTCCTTGGGCTGTGCCCCTTGAGATCACGAGCGAGGTCTCAGAAGATTTCATGTTTTCTTCCAGCCATTCATTTCTAAGACATATCTAAACCTGCAACACACAGTTATAAACTGGTGTACAATAGTGAATAACACTGTAGTTTTTGTCCAAATACTGGTTTCATTCAGTTTTCATTCAACAGCATTTTCTTTATTTTCATCATCTAAAAGTATGAACTAGTCCAAATACCAAAACAGGGTCTCAGGAGAGAGATGCACATTGTTAATTCAAATGGATAAGGGGAAGCTAAGCTTTAATAGGTTAACTATGACAAATATTCACTTTCTTTGTAACATGGGATATGTCTGTATAGACTACACACACGGGATAATCCAAATCTGGTTTACTTTTAGACTTCACATGTACAATTTTAAACAAACATATCATAAAAGTTTGGGTGAAATGATAATAAATAGATATGCGAGATTAAAATGTCTTTATTTTATAGTATGATGATTAGCCAGTACTGAAACCAGAGTGGTTTTTTTTTTCTTTTTTCTCATTTTTTATGTCCCTTATACCCACCGCTGGCGCTTAGTGCTCAGTGCGCCGCCTCCTGGTTTAATAGAAGAATTGCAACAGTCTGCGTTCCAGTGGTTAATAAAATGAAATTCAGTAAGAGTTCAGTGTGAGCCAGTTAAAGAGATCGCCTTCATACCTCTTGCCTGATGTACTTCGTACTGGTGGCTAATAGAGACGTAGCGATACGTAGTCAAATGATGCCAGCTGTAAGTTGCTGGTCTGTTAGATGTGAAGCAGATCTTTGGGCTCATTTTTTCATTCAGCCAGCAGAGTGTGCTGTATATTCATTTATAAAACCAAAGACCTGCACCGTCCGGCATTCCTCGCATTTTCTTCAGTCACCAATGCAGGAAAGGGCTCCGAATTGAACATGTGACAAAATACTCATCACTGACTGACTGATGCAGGTGTGAACAGTGTGGTGGGCGTGGAACCAAAACTTTGGGGTGGGGTTAGTGGAGAGGTTCCATACTAAATAGTATGACAAAATAGTACACTACCATGAGTGCATTCACTAGCACAGCACGCCATCAATTATCAAGCTCCTCGTTCAGATGTGTTAAAGAAAAAAAAAAAACACCGATTTTTCCGTAATTCATTCACTGTGATGTAAACAAGGTCTCAGACAGTGGTTTGATGTGAAACTGTGCATTGTAGAGAAACTCACTGACTCGGGTTTCCAGGGTCTGCAATGTCTAGAACACATACATAGGCTAGTAATCTTATTTACTATAAAAAGTGACCCGGGAAGCTGAAGCTACACGCCTTCTGTGCTTTTATATGTGATGTAAAATAGTGGTAAATCTGAAAAAGAGAATTTTGATTGGGGGACTATTTTGCTGTAACAAGGCCCTGTGAGTACCTGTCTGTCATTAATGCGTTTTAAAAATTACGTTTTAGGCCAAAACCCTCTCATAAAACTATGGCAAAACAAGATCTTAAGCATCAGGCAGTGTATTCATAGCCATTTCATGTAAAGCTTTTTCTGTGAGGGAGCTTTCAGAGGCATTAAACGCCTTTTAGACGTCTGGTTCCTATCACCACCACTGTAAACAATTCTGATTCTGTAAGTTTCTCCAGAACGAAACATTTCACATCAAACCTCTCTGGATGATAAGTTTGCATCTTAACAGTATAATAATGCGGAAATTTTGAAAAATAGGTGGACTTTCCCTTTAAAATATCGGGGGGGGGGGTTGACAGTGGGAACCTCTGGGTTAGAACATCAGAATGAAACGCTAATGTAAAGATGTACTATAAACATAACCAGAACGTCTACATAACCCCCCCTCCACTGTGTTATTGTATTATATTTTCACACGTCATCATCATAACACCGTGACGTCGCGTTTAGGGCTTGGCCGCGAGAACATGGGGACTTCCGGTGTGGGCTGGGCAGCCGCCGCCGCGGCGTGTAGAGCGCAGCAGTGAAGAGGGCAGCGTACTGTGCAGAGCGGCTCTGCGCTCTGGTCTCCTTTACCTGGAAGCTGTAAAACAGCCGTTTTTAGTCTTTAGCTGTAACGATGGCGGGATTAACCTCGTTGGAAGCAGTGAAACGGAAAATCAAACTACTGCAAGAGCAGGCGGACGGTGCTGAAGAGAGAACAGAGAAGCTGCAGAGGGAGCTGGATGTGGAGAGGAAAGCCAGAGAAACAGTAAGCAGGACAAGCAGAGATGCTGCTGTAAAGTGTGCCTGTCTGCTCCATGTCGGCGCTCGGCGCTGCGGTATAGACAGGGCGAGTCCTGATAGACTCAGTTTAAACAGTGGAGCAGGTTTAAGGAGGTGCATCTGTGAAGGAGAGGCAGAGAGGAGTGAGTGATGTGCAGCACTAACGGGATTTCTCTCTCTCTCTCTCTCTCTCTCTCGCTGCGCTCTGTCTCAGCTGAATCTGTTATGACCGTTGTGTATGCTCGTAATTTCCGCCCACTGCCTGAAATAGGCTAATTATGAAATTACTCATTAGAGTCAGGCAGTGTGTTGGTTACAGGCACTTGTTAACGTACAGTAACATATGGCTTTGCTATTGGGCTGTTGTGGGCCTTAAAAAATAGGCAAGTCTGGTTTACAGAAACACCTCTGATTCTTAAAGTCGCGCACAAAACGTAAACATGCAATTAGTTTGGTAACGACAAAGACCCGACTGAATAATAAATAACCAAACCGAGATTATTCTTGTTCCTTAAAGTGACATAAGTCATATAGGCCTGCTGTACCGTGCACAGTGATCGCTTTCACAGATAACGTTAAATCCACACATAAAGGGGAGGAAATGAATAATACTCTGCTACAGTGTTTGACTTGTTGCTGGCTTAAAAAGAGATGATATTAATTTAATTACTGTCTTAATATTGTTGAAAAGTTAAAGTGCTGCTGATACTCGCTCTGTGGAAGTCCCTCTTGTTAACTAACGATTTGCAAGCATGTTGCCTTATAAGGGCAGGTTGCGTTGATGCATGTAGTAGAAAAAAATCCTCCAAGAGCTGCAGCCCAAGACACAGACAGGAAACAATTTCAAGCTTTCTTTAGCTGCGTTGGTAATTATGGGTAGGCTCTGTGCTGTAACACTGAGTGTAGTTTGAAACTAGCACGTGAGTGGAAAGATGAAGACCCGAAACCAGGAGCAGACATACAGTCAAGATCTGTTTATGTATGTTGCGTTCATGTTCCTAGTAGCTTCATTGATGCACTTTGCCCTTACGTAATTCCCTCCAGTGAGGCGTCTCTCTCTCTCCACTTGCTTAATATTCTGAAGGGATGTTGCTGGTTACACAAGACTATGTAGTATCCGCCCACATGCAGTTAGGTTGTAACCAGACATAAGTATGTGTTCATTTGAACATTCCTTCACTCCAAAACCTTGAATAATGAAATATTAGACTACATTCTCTGTCTGTGCTATGTCTGGTTCTGGTTCTGTGCTATGTATGGTTCTTTAGTAATGGATCTATGTAAAACACTCATACAACTATTCCAATGAATAAATGTTTCTCCTCTCTGATGGAAAAACAGTTGCATATGGTTCTTTAAAGAACCCTTTTAAAAAATGGATTGTTACAAGTCAAAGAACCCTTTTTAAGGACTATATAGAACCCTTTTTGCTTAGAGTATATGGAAACTGTCCCTAGGAGTTTGTAGAGGTTTTGTGGAAATGACAAGTGGTTTCTACCATCATAAAGCATAAAATGTCAAGTTCTTCTGACATGTTGATTTTTAAAACCAAATTTAGGGTCTTTGGTAGGAACAGTGTGATTATAGGATGTAATTGTTCAGGTTATGTAGTTTGGCTGTTGACAGACTTAATAATTTCAGCCCATGGAGAGTCTCTCCCGTTACTCGTTAAAGCTCTCCCAGAGTACTAGTAATGATCCCAGCACTCTCACATTCATTAATGCTATTTCCAGTAGATACATAGGAGTGTAGAGAGGATCTCAGGGGGAAGGATCTCTCTGCCTCAGTGGGCCATAATGTGCCTAAGTGGCCTGTTAAGAAAGACACAGTCATCAAAACCCAGTGTAGGTTCCTCAAGTTCTCAAGTTCCTTATGTTCACAGATAATGATCAGCATTTTGTGGACACTGTCTTTTTGATTGTTTGTTGGGAGGGATGGTGTATGTCTCTGTATGGCTCTTCATCTTTTCCTCATCTCACTTCAGTTCTTCTGCTGTTCTCACCTAGGCTGAGGGTGATGTAGCCTCTCTTAACAGACGTATCCAGCTGGTTGAGGAGGAGTTGGATCGTGCTCAAGAGCGTCTGGCCACTGCCCTTCAGAAGCTGGAGGAGGCCGAGAAGGCTGCTGACGAGAGTGAGAGGTGAGTGTAGAGAGATAATATAGCAAATTTTAAAGGGCCTATACTATGGAAAACGTTTTTTTTTCAGTTTTTTAAAGTCAGTGCTGGAGACTAAGCTGCAAAAATGTTTTCAATCGATTGTTTTTTTTGCGACGACACCAAAACCACCGCATTTACATAGATCCACCCATTTAGCTTATAGCAGTTTAGACCTGCCTATTCACTCTGAAGTCACAGAAGTGTTTCAACACAAACAGCTTTTTGAATGGGACACAATACGGGGGCAGCCATTAAGAACAAAGCTTATTTACATTTATTAGTCCTAAAGATGCAGTAACAAAAACAGCCAGTTTAATTTAAATGACTACACAAATGTTATATGAGGCCCTCAGGGGGAAAAAAAATAAAATGAAATGCAAGAAAAATGAATGATATGGGGTCATTAAATATCATATGCCCAATGTTTGCGCTCTAATTACTAAATAGAGTGGTTCGTTCAATGCTATGTAATTTGTCATTTTAGTATTGAACAGTCCGAATTAGATTAGTAAAACAGGAAGTGCTGTAGGCCATGAGAGACTGTGGAAGTGAAGTTAAACAGATCTATTGCACGTTGTACACCCCTCCCCCTCTTTCTCCCGCACTCTATCACTGTGGTTACTGTGCACAGAGTCTGCTGTTGTGCTTCTATTGAGGTGACAACATGCCTCCACTTCCTAGCCTGCATAGTACAGCTGGTGCCTTGTAAAAAGAGTGCTTGTTCGTATGATGAGGGTAGATTTTACTACCTGTTAACCAGTATGACAATTAATGAATTTATTTGCTTGCACGTACATTGTCAAAAAGAAATGTTTGTTTATGTAAAAAACTTTCAAAAAGGATCGAGCCATTGTTACATTACTTTAAATAACTTCCCCTTTTGAGTGTAGAACCTCCAGGACATTATGACTGGAAGCTTTAAGTCATGGCGCTGGTGATGCCACTTGCTGGCCTAAACAACAGACGTGAGCTGTTTGCGTAGTGGCACCACTGCTTTGAATAAACAGCGATTCACAGGGGCACAAGGCTGTGTTTCCCTTTCTTTGTTTGACTCACACACAGCCCCTCTGTGCAGCCAGGCTCTGCACCATAGTACACAGCCGCTCTGTGCAGAGACCGGACTTTAGCTACTAATACATCACAGATTTTCCTCCGTTTAGGCAGTTAACAGCTGACATTTTCAAATGGCACAGTCTAGTTATAACAGGCTAAGTGTATGTAAATGTAGCTCTTGAGCGCTATCAGACTGGTAACTTTAAAGGAATAGTTCTAAATACAGAAAAACACAGCAAAATTGTCCGTGACAATTAACTGTTTGCTTTATATTCTAAACAGAGTGCTGATTGATTTACACTGATGCTAGAAACTGATCAGGCCTTTATCGTTCTCTGGCCATGTGTGTATCCCTCCTACTCTATTTTCTTACCTCTCATCCCTACTTCTACTTTTCCCCCTATAGAGGCATGAAGGTCATTGAGAACAGGGCCCTGAAGGATGAGGAGAAGATGGAACTGCAGGAGATTCAGCTCAAAGAGGCCAAACACATTGCTGAGGAAGCTGACCGCAAATATGAGGAAGTGAGTTCTTCAGCTGACCAACTGCTTCATGCCAATCACAGACCACTTCTTTAGACATGTGACTTAAATCTAAACCATAATCATTTTGTACAAACTTGAAACAACATAGTGGTCTATGCTAATAGTCACATGAGTTTGTTTGCTCCTCTCAAGTCTAGGGATGCACCAATTTGGGAATAATTTTCTGATATTTTATACACGTCTATTATTTTTATACACCTCTTTTATACGTTTATCTGCCTGTGCCAGTAGATCAACATTTGTGCAATGTAGAAATTGGGAGAACATCTACCTTGATTAGCATTACAGGGAAATATAACCTTTACTTCTGGTGGAATTAAACTGTCCAACTGTTTCATCATGTCACTGTGTCAGTCAGACACAGATATTCTACAGTTGTCATCTTGGAATGTGGGAATGTCAGTGTTGTTCTGCTCAGACATGAAGCACTAAGTTTGTGGAAAAGAGGGCTAAAGTGGATCTTAAAAGACTTATAATCCTTACCTGTAGTAGTTGGATGCCTAACCAACAATTAGAAAAGAAATGCTATTAATTTTTTGTGGGGAGCTAATGTGCGCTGTACAATACGCAGACTCTAAATCCTGTCTGGTATGTGTGTGCAGGTGGCCCGTAAGCTGGTGATTGTTGAGGGTGAGCTGGAGCGTACAGAGGAGCGTGCTGAGCTGTCAGAGAGGTGAACCACCCTGCTGCTGCTCCACACTTGGCCCACACTACCTCACTGACATGCTACGTAACACGCATGTGTGCTTAGATTTGCACCATGTAGCCAGACACTTCCTGGCACTCTATGAATCTGGAGGTTTCCAGCTGTTTTATTGCAATTTCCTAACGCTTCCTCTTTTTTTTTGCATGCACCGTTAACTTGCATGTGTTCCCTGTATGGAATGACCTTGTGCTGTACACATGCACTAACAGACGTGTGCAGGGATTACAGGACGAGCTCAAACGGTTGGACCAAACCTTTAAGTCATTAAAAGCAGCAGAAGGACAGGTACTGCACACTAACACTCTTCATTAGGTTTATACAAACTAACCTCCTCAGCACGCTAGGGCTTCTCAACATGTAGTGTCCGTTCCTGCTTTCAGTCTGCTCTGCTTCACTTTCCTTTGCTTTGTTTTTTTCCCCTATTTATTTATTTATTTATTTATTTATTCATTCATTCATTTATTCATTCATTCATTTATTTAGGCTCTCATTTTCCTAAGCCTTCTTTGATTGGACATCTAACCCAGCAGGAATGCTGCAAGCTGAATGCTCCACACTGAAAACATTTTCCACCATGCATGAATAAATAATGAAGTGTAGCATCTTCCACATTATCTGTTCAGTCTACTCACTGTGGAACATTCCTGCTTTGTTTTTGCTTCATTTTGGGGTTTGTTTTGTTTGTTTTTTTCCCTTTTCCTTACTTGTCCCCTTGTCTTTTGCCTGTTCTTTCTCTCTCATTCTACACTGAATCTCCTATCCCCTTCATCTTCTCCCTTATGCTATGCCCTCTACCTTTCCTCTTCCTCTTCCTCCTCCTCCTCCCCCTCTCCCTCTTTCTGCTCCTTTTTATGTAAAACACTAGCAAATGTGCTGAGCTTGAGGAAGAGTTGAAAACTGTGACCAACACCCTGAAGTCTCTGGAGGCCCAGGCTGAGAAGGTATGTGTGCTGCCAGTGTGGCCCAGGCCCCATGTCATCCCTTTTGACCAAAACCAGGATAACCTTTTTGATAACTATTTTGAACTTCTTTATGACATCTGTCAAACTGTCCATATCCAGAAATCAGTGGTTCCCATACTTGGTGCTAGAGTACACTTTACCCTGCAGTGTTTTTCCTGCTTTACCACACCCATCTGAATTCATGAAGGGCTTAATTTTCTGGACCAGGTGAGTTAGAGCAGAAAAACTCAGTGGGTGCTCTAGAACCAGGGTTAGGAGCCACTGCCATAAATCCATCATCAGCTTAACCAGTGCCAACAAGGGCAGTGTTGTCTCTGTTCTATAGAATTTTTATTGATAGATAAAGTAAATGATTATAATTTCAAAGGAATTTTTTGTAGGTATAACTTATGATAAAACATACTAACATGATCCGTCTAGTTATTTTACTGTGTACTGTTTGTTTGTAAATGTTGTAAATGGTGCTACAGATGACCTTCATGCTGGTGTTTGTGGTTAGGTGTGCTGGTCTGGGTATTGACATTTGCCCTTCTTTTACCTCCACAGTACTCACAGAAGGAAGACAAATATGAGGAGGAGATCAAGGTCCTCACCGACAAACTGAAGGAGGTGAGTTTTTATGGTGATCATCAGAGGACTTTACACATAGGTGTGTATTTGTGCTCTACATGTATGTTTGCATTTTAAAGATTCTACAAATGTATCCTTCTGCTTTAGGCTGAGACTCGTGCTGAGTTTGCTGAGAGAACAGTAGCCAAGCTTGAGAAGACCATTGATGACCTGGAAGGTATGAGTTTTTTTCTTTATTTACAGGTTTAATTTAGCTCTGCTGTTTCATTTTAGGCCCTCAGTCATGCTACAAAACATATGAAGCTTCCACATTCCTTGCTCTTCAAGTTCTGATGCATTTTAAACTTCTCCCTTCCTGTTCTATAAAAACATTCCTCTGACCTTCATTTAGTTCTTTTATCTTCTCTCTGATGGACTTATACCTTATTTAGTGAATTAAGTCATTGTTGGAACTTTGGTCAAGCTTTTTATGACCCTAAACCAAACAATGTAGCATTTTTTGGTATGTGATCATCCACAGTGCCTCTGCCTGATTAGAGTTTTATAGAGACTTATTTACTGAGGCAGCATTCATTGACTCTCTTTGTCCTTGTCATTTGGTTATTCATGCATCCAGTGTAATTTTCATAATTGTAGCACACTGACTGAGTGGAATATTTGCACTGTGTCAAGAGTCATATCAGTTCTGGTGATATGAAGTCATGGATCAAAAGGACATGTGTTAGTAGAGTAGGAATCCCTCATTAAGTTGTCTGCCCAGTTATAGGCTATGAGCAACTGACCTTTCAGTAAATGAACTGTGAAGACACGGATGTTTGCTGTGAGGTATATTTAGCTGCTCTTAAGGAATGTAATGTGATTTAATGTATTGGTGTGCAATATGAGGATATGTTTTCATTAATGTGATAAGTACTTCTCTAAAACTGAAAAACAACGTACATCATAAAAGAGATTTCACATCAATTATAGAGAGTCTGTAAAGGGGCTGGTCAAAATGAAATTGTTATTGTGATAAATTACATCACAATATGCTTTTCTGAGCATATCAGAATATCATCAGTGCTGATGCATGTTTCATTACAAAGAGAGCATAATTAGTCTTGCTTAACTAGATTTAGTGCAGCACAGTATGTGAAATGTTGAATAAAAATCAGTAGTACTTGATACTATTTTTTTAAATGTGGCATTACTGGTTATTTTTTTACTTGTTCATTTTAACAGTCAGAAAAAACAGTATCGTGATACATATCATGTATTGTGAACATTTCTTAAAGTATTGCGATATTATATTTTTGCCATATTGAACTGTGGCCTTTAAACAACCAGCGTAGAGTAACTACATAGACTAAATAGTAACCAGTAGTCTCATGGGGGGCAGGCATGATCTCACAATGAGAATACACATCTCGGGGACAACTTGTTAAACTTTTGATGCTGAATATGTACACTCCCTCTAAAACCCGCCTTTAGATACCTCTAGTCTGTACTCTTCAAATGTCCAAACTACATGCAGTAACACAAGAAAACAGTCTAGCTAGTGAAACACCATTGTTAGCTAGTGGAACTGTTTTGCCCTTGCAAGAGGTGATATTTATTTTTACCACATGAATGTCCTCTCCGCACACATGACACACATTTACATGCTGACATGGAGTTTTTCAGGGAATTTTTCAGCCATGCTAACTTCCATTACATCCATGGGTTAACAATGGGCTTGTTGTCAGACAACATTGGTCATCGCACCATTACACCCTAGATTGAGCTCCGATGTCAAGATTTCAGACTTTTTCTTCCCACCCTAAAAAGTCAACATTCTCACCCACATTCAGCCCAAAATTTCTCGTGGCTGTCCCTACACATTCTCTCATTATGAGATCGTTCAGACCCCGTGAGACTAGGCGAGCAGTAGCTGATAGATGCCAGGCCAATATTACTATTTTCATAGCTTGTTTTAAAGAGACACTAGAGTTGTTTTGTGATGCTTATATTTTTGTCATATCAGCCACCCTTAGCCTGCTGTCTCCTATTTTGAGTCTGCCTCATTCTTCTGCTACTTCATTCTAATTTTTTATTGATTTTATATTTTTTCTGCTTTCCTTTTTTGTCTGTCTGTCACCTGTCTCCTTCGGGCCTGTCTCGCTGCTGGACTGGATGCTTCACCCTTTTCTCCACCTCCTTGCCACCTATTTTCTTCCATATCTCCCCCATTCCCCTTTCCTCTCCTTCACTCCTGAACCCCCCAACCCCCCGTCCCCAATAGATGAGCTGTATGCCCAGAAACTCAAGTACAAAGCTATCAGCGAGGAGCTGGACCACGCTCTCAACGACATGACTTCAATGTAATTCATGTGCTATGTCTGCTTGCGCCTCTGCCTGCCCATCCCCTCCCTCGCCCCCTCACACTACCTCCAACTCGTCACTACATCTCTCTGACTCTGTCTGGCCAACCCCATCCTCCTTTCATAAACTGTCCTGCTATCTCTGTGACTCAGCAAGATCGATGGCTCCTGTTCATGCTCCTGTAGTTGAGGTCTTGATCACTTAAGACATGTTAACAGTCTATGGCATGTTCGTGTGCACTTTGTGGCAAAGGCTTTGAATTTATGCTGGGTAAATATGTCAGCACTGGAGCAAATGTAAAGATGTTCGACAGTGAAGCCAGATTTTGTGAAAGCAGTGTATAGTAGTGCTGTTAACTTTCTACCAGGTTGTACTGTTTCCTATAACCACTGGATTGCTTTTACATTAAAGTAATCTTTTCTAATTTGTGGACGAAGGTGAATTGCACCAAGCTCTAAAAAAGTGTTTCGATTTAATGTTCTGAAAATGTACAAGCATAATTCATTGTTAACCCTGACATACAGCATGTAAGCAGTTTTTCTGAAACGCAGCAGCGCTGAAGGGGAAGCGTTTCAGTGACAATTATGCTTGGTTACTTCCTGTGTGTTTCCTCTCTGGTGTACCCTCTCTGATTACAGCAGCTCCTCTGCCACTAACATGGTCTACTTCTACTACCTTGATTTCTAAAACGCGCTCCCTGCAGCTTGGTTCACCATCGCATTTGAGATTGAGATGACACAGTGTACGCTAGGCTACTTTATGACTGACCTGTGTGCTGTTGGGTAAGTCAGCCAGGTGTCTTTGTGTTTGGCTCCACTCCTTGGCTGTTAAGGGTACTTAAGCTGTTATTCCAAACTCGTGCTCTGTACCATCAGGTGACTGTAAGCACGTTTTTAAAGTTAACTCACAATTACAAAGCTGATACAGTATGGCTTTTGATGAAGGTTTTAAAAAACATATGCACTCTGAAATGTGCTGGGCAACTGTGCAGCTATATTTGCTAAAACGAGAAGTTTAGATAACATGGTGATTCTTTAGCATTTAGGTTATTTAAGGTTTATGTATGAAGTGATGTTACAACTGTCTCTTACATAGACAAGATGTTTATGCTAAAATCATCTTAAGTCAGTTTTCCATCAATAAAGGTTCTTTTAATTGCATGGCTTACATGAACAACCCTAATATTGTCCAGGGCTGTCAATGCAGTTCATTAGACTATATTTTTTCCAAAGCTCATGCCTTTTTGAAGGTGTTACACCCACATTGAGGTTACAGCAGTGCAGGATCATCATCCATAATGTAATATAAACTGTGTCTTTAGCATTGTGGATTAGATTCATGCCCCAGTGTGTGTAATTTTGTGCACTCAGGGTACAAGTACAGTTGCTAAGTTTCTGTAACAGAACATGGAAGTTGTTATTCAGAGCTGAGGATCTGAGGTTTGAGACTGCTTTGAGCTGTGTGTGAGACTCTGTCCCCCCCTGGGCAATGCCTCTACAGTGGGCATTGTGGCTCCTGGTTTGCCGTTCTCCCCTCTGGTGTGTGCTGTGCGTCCTCTCAGCCCCAAATTAAGGCCCCTCACCATCTCTCTGCTCTTCTTTCCTGCACAGATAAATTGTTTACACCCATCAGACGCCTCCCGCCGGCTGAGCGGCATCATTCTGCTCTCTCTAGCCTTCTGTCTTTTTCTCTCCTCATCTGTCTGTCTTTCCCCTTTCCCCTCTCCCTCACTTCTTTGTCAACCCCTATCCATCAATGTTGGTTTGTTTCCCCTCTCTTGTACAGAACCCCTGATTCTTTCTGCATTGTGTAAAAATAAACGTTCTTCCTTCGATGTAAAACTATATCTTCTCTTCACTTTTGTGTCCTTTTTTCTTTTTTTCCTTTTATTTCATCTTTTTGTTTCTATGTGCTTTTATTTATTTTTGAGTGGGTATAATAAAATCACAATACCCTGCTGTCACCTCATGCATTTTATTTGTTTCACTTCCTGTGTTAATTGTAGTGTGTAGAGTTAAAGTTAATTTAGAAGGTTTATATCAGTGTGGAAGTGCCTTCATACAGTGTGGTTTTCCAAAATTTACATATAGGAAAATGCAGTTTTATCTTTCATTCAAATGTCTGTGCTAATTGAGCCTTTCCACAAAGTCCTATGAGGTGCCTCTGTGTTGGTCTGTTATAAAGATCAGACTGAAGCCACTACATTAACTGTAATAAATACAAATGAAGCACTTGGAAAATTTGCAAGATCAGTTAAAAGATACTTCAGTTTTCTTGCTCCAGGCAAATTGTGTTGGAATTTTAGTCTCAAATCATTAATCATGAATAAATACGAGGCCTCAAATGATATTTACGTACAGCAAATATGATATTTACGTAAAACTCCAGCCAGGAATTGCTCTAACATCCAACATCAATTAAATTGATTAAAAGCTTAATTTTGCCCATAACCAATCTTCAAAATAAGCGGAGATGTTGGAAAACAAATGCTGGAATGTGAATACTGAGGAGCTACTTTGATGGATTTTGTCTTAATACTTGTGAAAACACACACACACACACACACACACACACACACACACACACACACACACACACACACAGACAGGGGTAAATTTGCATTTAAAACCATTTTACAGTGTGGTATGCTGATGGATGTTTGCCAAGCACAGTGTAGCTCATTCAGGACATTTTTTCCCTTTTTTTTCAGAGCAGCTTTGCCACTTGACAACTGAATAGATAATCTGACCTCTAGATTTTTATTTTATGAGGAAATAATGACAGAAAATGGGCATTATTTCCATAAGAGGATACAGAATTCTTATTCATATATTTATGCTCCCTTAAAAAATGGCTCTTCACGGTTTCTTTAGTAAAGGCAACTCAAAGAACTCAGTTTTTTGCCTAAATGTTAAATGTTTCTTCAATATGGTGGAGAACATTCTATATATAATGCTTTAAGGAAGCTTTCAAAAATGTTTATATATAGCACCAAAAAGGGTTTCACTATTGTTATGAGTCAAAGAACGCTTTTTGTTTTTTTGCTAAGAGTGAATGTTGCTGTGTAACGTTGAATATTAGACTGCAGAGCAAGTGTCTGCTGCAGCGGCATTGGTTATAAAGCGATGATATCAGTTGTTTTAGGAATTTAGCAAGGTCATTTACTTTTATTGTGTTTATCAGAAAACTAGACCAGGTCACATGGTGTATGTTACTCTTTCATGAGCTGTTTTCTCCACTTTTTTCCATTCTATAAATGTTCTGTTCTTATTAGCCAGGTACAGTCCATCAACTATGAACTAACTCTTCTTCCTCCTGTCCTCCAGCTGTTCTTTCTATTTTTCTCATTCTCTGTCTTTCTCTTTCTCTAACCTGCTGCCTGACTGCACAGACAACCTCTACCAGCAACTTGAGAAAAACCGCCTTCTCTCTAATGATCTAAGACTGGCCTTGAATGAGGACTAACTAGTGTGAATTTTAATTTTATATTCATGAAAATAAATTATGATTTCTGTTATGATGGTGTGACTCACACAATGTGTATTACACAAACACTCTATATTGAAAAAGACTATCCAGTCTAATATATTAATGATAACAGCAGTCGTTTGCATACAAGTGTGTCTTAAAATCTACAGTATTGCTCTTGCACTCTATAGTTTTAAGCATGTCTATAGTAAGCAGAGACAGATAGTTGCCTTCAGGTACTTGCATGGTCACTGTGCCAGAGTCACAAATTCTGTCTCTGACTTCCTCTTCTGTCTCCTAGAGAGGAACAAGTCTTAAGTTGTTTGGATAAACAGGACGTTTATTTGTATGGCAATGCTTAAGTCGTGACTGGAGTGTATTTGTTGAAAGACTGCATGCTGTATACTCATACTTGTGCACTAGTGATATTAATGTTGTCTTCTAACACTTGATATTCTAACAGATAAACTGTCACACGCTAAAGAAGAGAACCTCGATATGAACCAGATGTTGGAACAGACTCTATTGGAGTTGAATAATATGTGAACCCCTGTCCATGTAATGATGTCTGCATTTTGTAACTTCTGAGTGATTTTTCTTTTCTGACAAGTTATCAGATGGCACAACATGTGTCATTTATTACAAAGATTTAGTTTTCCGCTTATTTTTTTAAACAGTGATATTCTGGTACATGTTCGTTTTACTCTGGTTATGCACACACTTTGTCATTTCCATAAGAAATAACAAAGTTGGCAAAAATTGCACTTAATTCTCAGTTTATGCACATAATTGTAATAGTGGACAAGGTTGAGTCTTAAGCCAAGTTTAAATGAGCTCCTTTAATAAGATTTATATATTTTTTTTAATCCAAAGTTTCCTTTAAAGTGTACATTGGATTAGGTTGCCTATATGTACACTGGTGCTACTATGACGACAAACGTCTAGCAGTTTGTAGCTTTTAGTAAATCTGTATACATTATTAATTTGGTTTATATTTTCCTTAAGTGCCAGTAGTCGCCCTGGCCAGAAAGGGACCCATCTACAGTGTCTATTTATTTTACCTTTCTTAACTTCTACTCGGTGCAAAATGTCAGGCAGCATTATCTTTGCAAATGCATTTTTTTTTTTTTTGGTTTTCTGTTTTCCCATGATGAAACCTGTATGGTTCAAAATGTCTGTTTTAAATTTAAAAATATGATTAAATCATATTTGGTTGTGCCTCATTCATTTGAAGTCATTTTAAATGTAGATGTATTAAATGTATGTCATATCTAAAATGTACAAAGCTAATAAATATAAATAAATCCACACAATTTCAGTTTTTCCAAAGCCTGGAATTCATTTCAGGATCCTCAGTAGACGGGTATTTGAGGTATTTGTCCTCTGCGTGTAGTAAGAGTCGGTGATGAAACACAGCACCTCTGTTTCCTTAGCCCTTTTTGCCTTGTATTTACCTTCATGTAGGCCTGCTTCACGCAGAGGCTTTATCTTCTACCCTGTGGTTTGTGCCACTGATAGCCAGGACTTAGCAGAGTGGTTGTTGCCTAACAACAAACGCTAATCTGTCCATCTGCTCCCTTTATTACATTTAGGCTACTGTGTTGAGCACGTGCTGGCAGAGGCCTTGTTTCTAGCGCCTGGAAAATGTGTCACAAGTGTACTTCTCTATTTAATACAGCTTTATGAACATTTTGCTATCCTGTTCAAGGAGAGATGACACTTTTAGTAGAAAGTAGAAATAAAATAACTAGCTAGCAATCAACTTACACAATTCCATTCCATTCCATTGAAAGTGGTGAAATTTATTGACATTGCTTATATTTGTGATTTGCATTTACAAATTCATCAACATTTTACTTAAGTACATGGAACTGAGTGGAAAACTCCCTGCCTCTGGCATCATATCACTGGTTTTACGTAATACCACTGGCTGAAAGTCCTCATAAAACGATCCTGCATCTCATGTAAAACAGAAAATAAGGCGGCAAGTGGCACTCGGTTATATGGTGCAAGGTCAGCGACTGTACTGGACTAGAAGGCTTATCAGTGTTTTGACCTGTTCTCTAATGCTTTCAAGAACCAAATGCAAACAAGTTGCTTTTGCTAAGACTTTTTCAGATGACCTTTCACAAGGACCGCAGTAGGGCCATGGGTGGTATGACTCAGTATAACTAATAAACTATAATCTGTAGAAAATAGAAAATGCTGTGTCAAATGTACAATTGAAACAGATTAACTTGTGTTTCAGAAATATTTAATTCAAGAATCATTTCAGATTTATTATATTTATGTGAATTAAACATGCTTACAGAACTGGTCACAGCAGTCCGAGGGTTGGCTGAACATAATCAGTTATCATGGAAGAAGAGGCCTAGAAGAGAAGGAGCAGGGTAGAGGAGCCTAAACCCAATGCTCAAGTACAAGCATTGTTTTTTCTGTGAAATAACGACTCAAGTAAAAGCAAACATACTTTTCCAAAA